TAAAATAATTATATGTCTCACCTGTTTCACTCGTGTATCACTCAATATGGCTTTTTCCCTCTATTAATCTCACCACTTTGCCTTTTTCCACTCGTTACTTTCACCCAATTGCTTCAAAGTCAATATCGAACTCAACCAAATCTTATTCTCGAAGAATTCAAACCGGGTTATGAACGATGTGTGACTCAAGAGATTTATGGAGTGAGAAGAAACTAAGGAATTAGATAGGTAGAAGTGAAACTATTTTTTTAATTCAAGAAAGTGGTTCTTGAATGGAAGTTGAAACCTTTTTATTTTTGGATCAAAACTCAAGAAAATACGAACTGACTTGAAAATTGTGAAAAACTAAGAAAACACGAAAACAAGACTCAAAACAACAAGAAAAGATATAACCTTGATTATTGGAGCCTTGCTCTGATACTAACTGATGAGAACCACGTAGTAATAGTAGCTACATAACCCACAACGAGATTAGAACAACCCAAGAAAGCCAATAGAATCGAGGTTTTGGATTCGACCCAAGAATAATGAACCAAGCAACCAACACAATCGTCGACAATATGTTGACCTCTTGATCACATGCCTGATGAATCTAGCCCGGATGTTGAACGCCACAAGAAATCGATTCTTGATAAGTTCGAGATTGTTCAATGAAGAACATAGGGTTTGAAAGCAATAAAGCCTCACAATTGATTCAATACTAATAATGGTTGAAGTTTACAATGAATGAAAGTAAGTATTTATACTAAACCCTAGAAATAGGGAAAAACTCGAAATTAACTTACCAAAACTAAAAGAATCTGTAATCTACTAGAATCCTATCAATATATGGAAATATAGGGCACAATTGTGTTTCTTGTGGGCGTAGGGGTACTCATAGCTGCGGTAAAAACCACGTTTGATGCTTTCAGTTGGCGCGGGCGCGCCAGTGCCTTCTGTCTGGTCTTCAATCATCCAAATCAGGTTCTTCCAATTTGATTCCAGCCTCGACCCCAACACGGAACTTGCTTCATTCTTCATTGCGGACGCCATATCGTCGACCGTAGCTTAAGCAAGCAATGTCATCACCTCTTTTACTCACCTTACTATCGATCGAATCATCGGCCCTTCTTCAACTATCAATGGATATTTCCCTGGACTTGTCCTCGTTGCAATGGCTCCTTGGATCACATCAAATCTAGTCTTTATTTTCTACACCATCGTTGTTCACTCTCCTCTTAGTTGAACGACGATGGAAGATTTCTTCATATCTATTTGTGTTTGTGTTCTGATGGTTAGATTCGTCCCCACTAAAAAATTTGTAAATTTTTGTGTGTTGCTTGAATCGATTTTCTTCAACTTATCATTTTCTTTTGATGTGCTTTATGTTCGACCTATTGATTTGGTTTCTTTTTTTTTTTTCAAGTTGTTCTCTTTTTTGCTTGGGTAATAATTTCAACTCATTTTTATGTTTCCTTGGTTTCTTCTTTTTTTACTTGTGAATTTTTCCTCTGCTTGTGGTTTCTTATAAATTTTGACAATGTGTATACAAGATTCTAAATTCTCCATTAATTATACGTTTTGCTATTGGGGTTTATGTGGGTTTTCGTTCGTTGGTGGTCCTTGGCTTCAATGTTCTGATGTTGTATTGATTTCTCTCCTCGAACTCTCATATTTGTTCCAATGCTTTTGTTTATTTGTCATTGTGCTCTTGGTGGAACGATGAGAAGTTTTCCAGATCTGTGATTTTGTAACTTAATTTCCCAACCATGCCTTTTTTTAAAAGATTTTTTGCATCTTTCTTATAGCTTTGGTTTGTCTTCATGATAGGTAACTGTACCAAAAAAACTCGCAAGTGTACGAGATCGTTGACAAGTAATAATGTAATGAGTTGAGTTATCGTCCCACGAGAAATAAATGTAATTATAACTTACCAGTTTCTACCAAATTCGGTGATTGTAACACAAATGAGTTTTTTTTTGTAATGATCCTAAATTAAACTAAGAAAAGCGTAAAAGAGATTGTTTTTTGGGACAATTGCAGTAGCGGTTCCAAATATTTCATTTTATTGTAGACTTGACTCAAACCTTTTAAAAATTTGCACTTGCAGTCTAATCTAATGGAATCTCTTAGTTGACCAAAAAGTCAATAATTTGACCAAATTTTGACTAATTTCAAATTGTTAAAATAGTAAATTTACCTTTTCTATATTAAAACAATTAAAATAAAACAATTAAAAACAAAAACTAAAAAAGAAAAGCAATATTTGTTTGAACTAAATTAGGAACCACCCACGTCCTCGGCCACAATCACTCTCGACATTGCCATCGCCACCGTCTCTGAAATTAACAGTTAGCAACCCGCCATGTTCCAATTTGAAGCATTTTTGCAGGAAAGTTGGTAGCCTTTTGAAAAATTCAATATATAAGAAAGAACACAAAGAATTACGTGGTTCGGCGCTAGTGTGGCAAACCTACATCTATGGGAGAAGAGAGAA